TAGCACAGCATTCTTGTGCTAGAATTATCTTTTCACATTTTCAGTTCTACGTTTGTGCTTTGAACAAGCCTCCTTTACCGAAGTTCTCACAGTGAAGGCATTTGCGTCCAGCCGTTCAGACTTCGTAGCGATGAGTTACCGTTACAGTCAATGCTGCCTGTGTCATACCCCTCTTCACCTATTTCTCTTTGTTATTTTGCCATTTTCTAACAGTGGCTCGCTATATTGCTACCGATGTTGGCTACCGTACTTCAGAGCAGCAAGGTGCAGTGGATGGGGCCCGGACGAACGCTTGACCGATGCACCCTAAGGCTGCGTTCATACTTGGCGATAGCGACCACCGGTGTCTACCAGCAACCAGAAGCGCCCACCAGCGTCCACCAGCGACCAGCAGCGTCCAGATGTGGAGAGTATGGGGAGACAGGAGGGTAGCAGACAGCTGGTAGATATTGTGGTGAGCTAGGAGAGCGGTATGTCTGCACGCTCCTGTCTCCCCATACTCTCCACTGTTGGACGCTACTGGTCGCTGGTGGACGCTAGTGGTGGATGTCGCGAAGTACGAACGCAGCTTGACGAAAGCCGAAAGCTTCCCGTTACCTATGTGGTGAGGAAAAACGCTGAGGAGAGGCCGAAGTTGTAGCAAAGACCACTCCTTCGAAGATTTGGAAAGTGTTCTTTTATATCGCATGTGTGGTGTCTCACAGGGGAGATTGTTAGTGCGACATCATCCCGCATATATTTTTTTACTGTTCGTGTAGTACTTACTCTACAAATATTTGTTTGGCAAGCCATTACATCATACCATTGCATTATCATAAGGCTGCGTTCACACTTGGCGACAGCGCCTATCAGCCAACCTTAGCGTTCCGAACCTCCTGCAGCGTCAGCGACTACGAAAGTATAGATATCAAACCAGCGACCATCAGCGTCTACCAGCGTCCACCACCGTCCAACAGCGTCTACCACCATCAGTGACCCGCAGCGTCTATCAGCGCCCACCAGCGACCAGGAATTGAGATCATGGAGCGATAGGAGTGTAGCAGACAGCTCTCAGAGTATAACGAGATAGGAGGGTAGCAGACTGCTGGTAGAGTACACAATGGTAGGAAAGTACCGGCTGTGTGCTACCCTTCTATCGCCCCATACTCTCCACTCTTGGTGGTCGCTGGTGGACGCTGCCGCAAAGTAACAACTTACAGTATCATGACATTAACAGAGTATTTGTTTATTTTGACAGGTTGCCAACGATCTCGAAGTGGAGAAGGCTCGTCGCATAAAGGCATACGGTGGCAAACTTGTTGAGGTGCGGGCAGAGGCATTTCGTAGGACGTTCTTCTTGAAGAGTTTCGAATATAGTGCTTAGAATGATCATAAGATCTCAAGGTAGACGAATCGGAAGTTCTTGGTACGGCCAAACGATTGGCGGAACAGAACAATGGGTTTTTCATGAATCAAGATGGTAATGCTCAAGAGGCCGAAGAGTATCATGACAGTAAGTCCAAGCTTTCGAGAACTTTTACAGAATTGCTGGAAGAATGAGGGCACAACACGCTGGGAGCGGGAGCGCCGACTGTGCCATGTCATGACTGATCTTCTGCGCTCCCTCGTTCGAATGGGTTGCAGAATAGCCTCGAGGTGGGGCCAGGTATATTTCAGGTACGATTTCGATTGCAGGCAGGAAGGCGACGTAGATTCCCACTGCAACGTTTTGGAAAAACGTGGCATGGTGTGACAAGACATAGCCATGTCGTCACTTCCACCTCCCCTCCTTTCCCCATTTCCTTTGACTGACTCAATGAACTCAGGCTACATTGTCTAAAATTGTGAATTAGCGGAGTCAGTATTACTTCCTCCCAACTTCCCTGCTCCGGCAGAACCCCTTCCACAATGGCCTACCCTTTCGAGAACTTTGTCTGAAATTGCGCCGTCACACGAGGGGTAGGGTTACTAGATACCTCCGATCAACTTCTAGAAACAGTAGCTTTGCTAGTTCTCCATTGTCGTAAAGTCAAGGACGAGGCAATCAAATACAGTTCTCGTGAAGGGTGCCGCACATCTATGCTGTATGGTCCTTTCACTATAGACGCAGAGGTGTGGGAAAGAGATGAATTTGACTCGGCGTTAGGCCGCGTTCATAGCTTGCGTTCGTGAAGAAATGCAGAAATGCGGAAAATGCAGAAGTGCGGAAAGTGCAGAAGTGCGGAATCTGCAGAAAAGCAATAGATACTTATCGACTTGAAGAAATGCAGAAATGCCGAAACTGCAGAAGTGCGGAAAGTGCAGAAATGACGAAAAGCATTACATACGTATCGATTTGAAGAAATGCAGAAATGCCGAAAGTGAAGAAGTGCGGAATCTGCAGAAATGCCGACAGTGCGGAATGTGCAGAAAAGCAACCGATACGTATCGATTTTCCACACTTTCGGCATTTCTGCACGATTCCTTGCCACTTCTTCACTTTCGACATTTCTTCTTCACTTTCGGCATTTCTGCATTTCTTCAAATCGATACGTATGTAACGCTTTTCGTCAATTTCTGCACTTTCCGCACTTCTGCAGTTTCGGCATTTTCTGCATTTCTTCAAGTCGATAAGTACCCTCTACTTGCCTCTTTACTGCACGACTCCGCAAACTCTCTGCACTTTCCTCACTCTTGATTCCTTCTGCATTTCTGCATTCTTCCACGAACGCAAGTTCATAGAACGCGGCTCTTTAGGCCTCGTTGTCCCACCTATTTTCGCGCCTTGTCCTGTCCGACACATTGCTAGGCTCGCGTTTCATACTCCACGGTTACGTTCTCCGATGCGGTGAAGCCAACTCAGCGCTCCGAAGATCCGTCAGGCGTCAGCGCGACTAGCGAAAGTGTCAGATCATAGAGAACCAGTGCCAGTGTCTCTAAAAGCGTCAGCCAGTGCTCCAATAGTATCGCGCAGCGGACCATAGTCTTTTAGCGGACTAGGGAACGGCCCCACTAGTGCTGGAATCTAGCGGTTTACCCACGGTCTACCCAGCGAACCAGAATACGAGATACAGGAACCGTGGAGGCTAGCAGGCTGCTGATAGTAGATTCCCGAGTGAGACGACGGGGAGGAGACAGCTTTGGCACTCAGGCGTTCGTGAAACGGGCCTGTGCAGTCGCCACCTCGACTCGTATCACCTACACACACTCACTCGCTTACTCCCCTCGGCCGCTGGTGCACGCTGGTGCGTCGCTGGTGAAGGCTTTAGTGGACGTACCATTCGCTGGCATGAGGTCTGCCACTTTCCTAACGACCTGACGTAATAAGAACAGACCGCCCTCGAATATCACTCTCGATCCTTCGCTGCCTGGGCACGCTGGACTGTCCGCACCTGGCGACGCCCTGCGCACAACGTCAGCTCTTTAGGCGATCTAGCTGCGCGTCTCCGCCAACTCAGTCCCTGACACCTGCCTGGCCGTATCAAATATTTCATGTACGTTCACTTTTTTTCCAGGTGGGTCCTTTGCCATTCGAGCCAGCACCAAATATGTTCCACGAGTATCCCGAAACACAGTATGGTTACAAAAACACAGAAACAACCTGTAAGAACCACGTTCCCGCCGACTTACTCTTGTGCACTGCCAGCTGGTACAGGTAATGCAAACAATTACCAATTACGAGTGAAAAAATATCCAGTGTTCGGCAAAAGAAAAAAATCTAGGAAAACTAATATTACCAACAATTACTAGTAAACAGAAGTAAAACAGAAGTCTAACAGGAATGGTGAATTCTCTCCCTTCAGAGGTTGTTTCAGGTGGTACAATCACATCTGTGGCACGGTATACAAAACGATACAATCTCAACACCACTATCGTTCTAGCCGATTCTGAATATTCCCTTTACTTCGACTATGTCATTGCGAATAGGTGGGTTACTAATTGCTATTTCCTGAGTGTGAGACTTCTAGGCTGCGCTCATACTCTGTGGCAGCGTCCACTAGCGGCCGCCAGGCGTCAACCAGCGACCATCAGCGTCAGCGACTACGAAAGTGTAAATGTTGATCAGGCGAGCAGCAGTGTCTGCCACCGTCTACCAGCGTCCACCAGAGTGCGCCGGCGGTTATCAGCGCCTTGAGCAAAGGAGTATGGATTTCGATCTAGCGTCTACCAACGTTCACCAGGGTCCACCAGCATTCAACATTTTCCAGCTACCATCAACGTTTCGAGAGAGTAGGAAAAAATGGATATTAATCTAGCGTCTGTCAGCGTCTACTAGCGTCCATCGGCGACTAGGAGTATGGTATTTACTGGTAGTAGAACGGTGCGGCTGCACAATCTTTCGACACTTAATGTAGCTGTCCGCCCCCTCATACTTCCCCATACTCTCTACTTCAGGTCGCCGGTGGACATTGGTTGACGCTAGGTCGATATACATACTTTCCTAGTCCCTCAAGACGCTGATGGTCGCTGGTGGACGCTATTCGTCGCTGGTGGAAGCTGCCGCAGAAGTATAAAGGCAGCCTTACTTTCTGACAACTCCATGTAACTGTTTCCATGGAAGTGTGCCCCTGACGCCGTCAATAATGCTCCGAAAATAACCGTTTTTTTTTGCTGACCTGTAAATTTGTCTCTTCGTCTTCAGGTTTGTAAACCAAGAGTGGCTATGAGTTTTGGAAGAAACCAGGTGTTGAAGGGAACAGGCTACGGTTTATATGTGGAACCCCTAAATTATCGATCAACCACCAGGTAGAGCATTTCACAATTTTCGCTTTACTGTTTTAATTACCTAATTATTTCTAGCCTTGACCGTGGTGTTATTGACGAAGCAATGAAAATGCCGGATATCGCTACAGCAGCTTCTATGTATGTTCTGAGGGATAAGGAAGATTGGGGGAGGACCATCAGCTGCCTTGGACTTCCTTGTAGCTCTTTACAAGGCCTATCAGCTCAAGTAGGTGTCGTTTCGCTAGTTCCTTACTCTATCTTGTATTTCGCTCTACGGTTGTCCTGAAGCGAATTTAAAGTTTCAGAGCTTGCATCGTAGGCAGAGTTCAGACTTGGCGATGATGCGGGCTGACGCATTATCAGAGTCCGCTAAGGCTCTGGGAGAGTATAGAAGCATAGGAGGGCATGAGACTGTGTGATCAGGCAGCGCGTAGACGCGCGTCATCGCGAAGTTTGAACGCTACCGTGGCGTTCACTGATTGCTTCGTAGAACTCTAACAATAGAAATCATATTGAACTGGTTCGATTGCAGGAATAGAAAAGACATCAAAGGTCGCCTTACTATCGTCACAGTTATTGGCGATCCGGGTAAGAACTATG